TTTGTAGCTCTTAAAGTATATATCTTGATTGATTTTCAAAAACCATGTGAACTAATGGTCTACATTAAAAGCATTATTTCATATACAGTTACCAATTAAAAGTTAAAGACTAACAACATGCTTTTTAATAATTCTTCTGAATTTGAGTTCATTATTTGTCATATAATATGTAAGGTCTTCTTCTAATGTTTTATAATTACACTTGATTATCATTCCTTCATTTGACTTCACAACTTTCCTTTAAAATAATAGTAGAATAATGGCAGTTATTTTCTTAGGGTTAGCATAGAAGCAAAGAAAAAATTAAAATGTGATACACTACACAAAATGAGGACAGTGAAAATGGATTTGAATATGTAAGACAGCTCACAAGTCAGTGATTGGTTCATGGCTCCCTGTAGCCAGAATTTTCTCAGGTTGGGACAGTTCCACTTCCCTAAGGAACTGCAGTTGCTGCCTAATTGGAATAGTAAGGACTGGATTTATCCTCCAACGGAAACAACGAAGAACTTATAGAACTTATGAAATGACATTTTATTAAGACACTAAACACTAAGCAGTCCAGTATAGTGGTCATTGGAAGGTACAAAACTAGGGAAATGAGTCCAAGAATGTCTCTAGGTGTGAGATGAGAAAATGAGGCAGAAAGTGCAGAAATAACAATGTGACTAGAGACCACAAGACAGAGAATCAGGAAGTACAAAGGTTCAGACACAACATCAAAGATATTCTGTGCACACCTCTCAAGGAGGCAGCACGGTATACATCAGAGATGCATGTGAATATACTCTAAACAACTGAAAAATGGAGCTATCTGAGTGGATTTGAGAGACTAGTACTTATACAGATTTGGGAATCGTGGCAGATGGCAAGGTCCAAACACAACTCATATTTCAATACTGAAGAATAATTAGCACTGGGCTCATCATTGCTCTGCTCATAGCCCAGAAACCATAAAAGTAAGGCTTAAATAATAAAGTATTTCTAAGCTAATAAATAGAGTTTTACACAATGTAATTCATAGTAGCAATTGCAATCTGTCAAACACCATATATAATACTGAATGTCTATACAACAAAATCAATTGATAAGCTTTATAAAACAGACAGTATACACATATACATGTATAGCCACATACTTACAAGCACATGATGAATATTTAGTGCACCCAACAAAATTTCTGAGACAATTAAACTAGCATAAGGCCTAACCACAAATAATATTTTTCAGATTACCAGAGATTCTAATGTGCAACCAGACTAAGTTTTTAACATGACATCCACAGAACCTTGATAGAAAAAAGGAAATTCTTGAGCTCAGCAAAAAATTTAAACCATTATTTTGTATTAAAATGCCACTGAAATTTAATATTCCTCAACCACAAATGCAGCAAACCACACTAACAGGATTGATAATCTGTGCAGGAAGTCACACATCAGCTGCTGTGAGTATTTTGGGCACTTTTATTATCAGGGCATCCAAACTACAGTAGTTATTAGACCCTGAAACATATTACTTAGTGCCTTATTACAGAAAACATGTATCAGAGGCTGGGGATTTAGCTCAGCAGCATAAGCACCTGCCTTGCAAGCAGGTGGTCATGAGTTTGATCCCCGGTACCGATAAAAAAGAAAAAGACAAAAAAAAAAAAAAAAAAAAAAAGAAAGAAAACATATATCATTATGTCTTATATTATAAACTTATTTTGAGGGCCTTTTTATAGTAGGAATCCTTCATAACTTTAGGAAATGTGTTTTCTGCTTTCAAAACATTATTTTGAAAATTGGAAGCTCTTGGCCCAGCCTGCATGCCAAAGATGCTCATGGCACACACACTGGTTAATAGCTCTGTATTGAGAGCCTACTGGTCCCCAAATGCAGCCTTAGGAATGCTGAAGATCAACTTAGAGTCATTTTGAAGTGAGATGAGCACCATGAGTGTCTCCCAGCAACTACCTGGACTGTAACAACAGTGAGGTGGTATTGTACTCAAAGTATATTTACATATCAATTTTCCTTCCTTTATTAATTTTTCTAACAAACCTATCATTCAGTGTTTACCTCTGCCAGTTGATCCTGCTAGGTGTTTTGTTTTGTCCTAGCTTTGTTGTTGTTTACTTTAGTCTCCATAAATTAGAAAATATCACTAATATCACAGGGTTTACTGCATTCAGACCAAGAATAGCATTTTTTTTTTATCCTGGTAAATTTTTTTTTCTCAAGTGTAAGATATATGACTGATAAGTTTTTGCAATGTAAATAAAATAATTCTCTTCAATTGATTTCTGCGGGCCCTTGTTACACAATATATTTTATAATATGCTTTGCAAAATCTTAGCTTGGAAATTAAAAAACCTGTGTTAATCATATATTGCCACTACAGTGATCAGTGTGCCAAATTTAATTCATAAGTAAATAAAAGGAAACCTTGAAAGCCATGTAGAGTTCTATTCTTAGTGTGGGCATTGTTATAACTGAGAATTAAGAAACAAGCCTTTTAGGGGTTGGGGATTTAGCTCAGCGGCATAAGTGCCTGCCTTGCAAGCAGGCAGTCATGAGTTCGATCCCCGGTACGAGTAAAAACGAAAAAGACAAAAAAAAAAAAAAAAAAAAGAAACAAGCCTTTTTTTTTTTTTTTTTTTTTTTTTTTTAAGGGTCTTGTTACTACCTATGCAGCATGTTCTTTAGTTGCTTCCTCTGGTTCACGGGCAATTGGTGTCTACCCTGTCTGGAAACAGACAATGGCTACTAGTATGAGCTGGCCTGCATGTCCTCTACACAATTTCTTTTTAGGAAAACTTAGTCCTTGCTTGGAAGCTGCCACAGTAAGTTGAATCATCCAATCTCTGTCATTAAAGGTGGCAGCCATGCACTTGAGAATGATGTGGGAAAGCTCCAGTGAGAGCGATAATTAAACTTGGAAAATGAAGGGTCACCTTCTTGCATTCAGTTCATTGAGTTTGGCACCAGAATAATTCCAAAACAGTAGGGGATATTCTCCTCTCAGCATGGCAATATCGAGGTGCACACACATTACTTCTATGGGTTCAAATGGGAATGGCTTTTTAATTGTATTTAAAATGTTATATTTGATATAGGGGGTAAAAATGTTAAAAATTCTAAGAATACAGAAAAAGACTAGTAAAGATAATCTAAATGGGGAAAAAATAGAAACAAGAAAAGAATATGACTGTTTTGTCAGGAGGAAAAGCCATATAAAAGAAGAAAATTGTTATCAGGGAAATTGAAAAAAACATTTCAATGTATCTGTTCTGTCTGCCTGAATGCAATTACAAAGCAAGGGGTTTTATCTCAGCTTTCTTGTCCACTTACTTGGTGACCATTAATATAATATCTTACTCCTGACCAAGAGAGGGCAAGAGGTTTCATGGAAGCTGAAGACAAGTCATCACTGGAAGTTATTTTCCAGGAAAAAAACAGTTTTTTCCACAGACATATCAACTTATTTAAATACTACTGTAGCAATATTTGTTAAACTGTATTTTATATTGTTCTTATATTAAAATACTGAAATGTTAAAAGCAACACAAGCAGATAGTCTAAAAAGCACTACTGTTAGAAGCATGTGTAGTAAAAGCAAATTTCAAGTTCAGATTCTAGCTTTAGCATATATTAGATTTGCAACACTGGGTACGTCACATAAGTGTTCCTCACTTTCATCTTCTGTGAAACTGAAGATGATACCATGGTGCACATACAGCTGGTGAAAGATCAAGTGAGCTTAAAACATGCAAAGCTTCTATAGAAGTGTCTAGCATGGAATAAATACTATAAAATGTTCATCATCATCATCATATTATATGTTCAATACTTAATACAGTAGGCCAAATGGATACACACACGCATTTCTTTCTAGGGCTGATCATTTTTGCACTTGTAACTTTGAGTAAAGCTTCCCAAAGGATATAGATCCTTGAAAAAAATAAATCACTCAGCATTATTTTTTATAGAGTTGTATAATATGAAAGTAGAAATAATTGCTGCATCAAATTCCGGAGGTGAGAAATTCCTAATAGGCAGGAACTATAGACTCCAGATGACTTGATAGTTTTTTTTAACATCTGTATAACTGTCTTATGAGGACAGGTTGTATTTGCTTTATGTGATTGTTTATTTCAAGGTAAGAAGGAATGAGGAAATAGTCTAAAACAGAAAAATCTTGATGGACTAGGCTACATACATTTTTAAAGCTGTTCCAGGTGTATTTTTTTTTTTTTACAGGAAAACATCCATGAATTTCATTAAATCTAAAAGTATTATTAGAAAAACTGGAGTCTTTCTCTTGTTTTTGAAGGAACACATACTAAAATCTTTTCAGTAACATACACACACATTGTCCAAAACCTCAACCTCCAAGTTCATTGAAAGAAGGTGAGAAGCATGGAGTAAAAAGGAATGAATGACAAGAAGAATGACGCTAACAAAACTTTTGAAGAGATAATACTGCATATTATATTTGAAACCTATTTTACTGCAATACTTGTACACAGTCTCTTAGAAAAGAAAAAGCGTTTATAAAAGACGGTTGATTTAGTTACCAAAAAACTATTTGGTAAATTATTTCTTACAGAAAAAAATAAAAAAACTACATAAATAAACTCCTTCAGCTTAAGTTTATATTCAAAATGATTTATAGTCTGCAATTTCTTCCAAAGGTCATCACCTTCAAAAATACTAGCCACAAGAGAGAAAACCAACTCAATAAAATGAGTATTTCATTTTTCTTTCTTCTGTTTATGTAGATACTTCCTCCATTTATATGGAACCCATTTATAACAAAGCCTTACATTGTGAGGATTTTTATGAGTTCTTGAGCTTTCTTTCTTTTTTATCTTTTTATGCATCAGCAAAGTAACTGGCAGATTCTTTAATAAAATATATTATCTACATTAATATTTATAAGCCTATGAATTGGATGTTTAAATAAACATTCACCAACTTATGCCACTTCTCTTGTTTTAGATGTTAAATCACACTTACATTGTCTGGGAAGTCAGCCTTTAGTTCAGCGACACTTTGACACCAATATGCAGCTGTTTTTTCACTGATGAGCTCAATATTCAGAAAGGAGCTCTGTCCAGGGCCATACAAGGGGCCAGAGGTGATCCCCCGGATGATTCTGGGTGAAACATTTGTCACAATGTCCTGATAAAAGAGTAAAGATATTAGTTCTCCTTTCAACTAGAAAATCTATGATGTTTATTATAGGCACAGTAATAATGACAATATTTTAACAAGTTCTTTTTCTCATTTTTGTATGAGTTTTAACAATCTTAAATTACACTAGAAATTATGATACTTCTAAATGCAAAGGTAAAATAAAATCTTTATTAATTTAGTTAGATTACTTCCTGAAATTGTAGTGTTATCATAGTAAAAAAAAGTGCATTTAAAATCATTAATACTCATTTTTGGTATACTTTTTTTTGTTTACAATTTAAAAAATACTAATACGATAGGTAGAATGTAAAACTACCACTTGTTTATTTAATCTTGTATCTTCAAAGTCTCCAATCAAAGTTCATATTTTCAAAGAAAAAATATGTCATTTCTCTAAAAATTAATTCCAGTGTAAATCAGCCAAGGAATAACAATGTGTATTAAATTGGCTCATCAAACTGTAACACATATTCTGACACACTAATTGGATCAAATTACCTATAGAATGTAACCATATATTCACATTTAGTGAGAAGAAAGTCTTCTCAAGACTGAAATGAGGATATCAATAACTTCCTGATACATATAAACAGTAAACAGTAAAATTAACTTGCTTGTTAAAGGTAATTAACAATCCACAACTGCTTCTAAAGCTGTATTAACAAAGAAGTATAACAGTCTTCTATTCCTTACAACTAAAAAGAAACGAAGAAAAAATATTTCTTTTGCCAACTCCCAATTAAAATTAATTTTGAATAAAGGTCATTTAGTTAAGGATTTATCAGAATTAGTCTTTTAAGTACCCTTCCCCACTATCTTGTCACTTTTAGTGAGATAACATGAACCCCCATTAGTATATAGCAATTAAGGTCAATTTACATATTTTAATTAAGAACCACCCCATATAAAACAATTAGCGTAATAGGAATACTAACTGGATTTCATAACATTTGGACGTTTTTCCAACTAGATAGACAGGAAACCTTAATTAGCATTAATTAGTGCTGATCTGCATATGTTTGATAAGGCATACCCTTGCCACAAAAGATTATTTATTCCTGAATCTGCCAAATGCTACAGTTGCAGAGGATAAAAGGACTTTTCTTCACATTGCATGCTAATTTCTGGTAATTTACATTCACTTTTACATTCGAATTAGTATATTATAAAATAAAGGGTATAAATGTTACAATAAGCCTCCTTAAATATGTACATTTTAACTTATAGGAATCATGCCAGCTAATTTTTTACTAATTAAGCCATCCCATCTCTATTGTATTTGTGCACAACATTACCAGCTTTACTTTGATTTGCTACTGAGAATCCATGTTACACAGTCTTAGTGGGTAGAATGACAAATGGAATCTCTCCAGGAAGCTCAAGGCTACCTAATCAACTTTCTGTCTTGACAAATGCTCAAATGTGTGCTCTCTAGCCCTACAGGTAGCTCTGAACAGCTCACCACTTAGCTATTCATGTGCTGCCTTGGCCTGAGAAGAAACAAATGTTAGAAATGCTTTTCTCCAATGAAACAGTTTTTCTTCTTTATTCTGATTTTGAAGAAAGCCTTAAGATTCTCCTTTTCTTCTGTTCTACCCACTACATTTAAATACTTTTGATCTTAATGGACTCATCTTAGGGAACTATACAAGAGTACTTGACCATGTCATGGTCATGGAGGACATAAGTAAAGTCCCCTCAAGGCACTAAGCCATGTGACCTATCACCAGGAATAGCTCTACAAATGATGAGGCTCTGGGTGTAAATGATCACTTTGCAATTAGTTGGTCTAGAAACAATAGCTTCTGCTTCTTCGACAAAACCAATTCATGCAAGGCAAGAGATATAGCTCAGCAGCACAGCACCCACATGGCACGTTTGAAGCTGTGAGTTCAACTCCCAGTACAAAACAAAACAATATTCATGTGTTAGCCGAATCCCTACTCTTGCCCATTTTTTACTTTTCAGATTTTATATTTCAATCCCTTTGAGAAGCTTTTCTGATCTCTTCAACTTCTAGTTTTAAAAGGTCTCTATGATTCATGCTTCTGTAATACATTATCAAACCTTTCTCAGTCAGCACTCATCACATTTCACTGTACTTGTCTATGTTCTTGGCTCTTACTTTCCAATGAAGATTCATAAAAACCTATCTTGTTTCCTAATACATGCCCAATTGCTAACCTGACCCTTAGTATATACACAGATAACATTTTTGAAGGAGGCAAACCCTCTAGCACTTTCAATTACAAACAGCTAGCAGCGGCACATGTGCCATAGGTCATGTCTTGAGGTATACCAAACAAAAGTATTTATTGGCTGGCCCTATTCTGCTATACAACAGACTTGTGGTTAGGGTTAATGTTCAAATTCTAGGTCCAAAGACTCTGTTTAGATCTTTTCATGTTAGCTTATTGCTCTACAGTTAAGATTCTTACTTATTTCCTCCTTATGTCTTAGAGATTTCTCATGCAGCTTAATCCATCCTCTTTTCCTTACCATGGCTAAATTCTGTACTATAGCTGTGTGCTACAGAGGTTGCCTGCAACATCCCACCCTACCCCAACCGACCTGCACAGCAGGAAGCACACTCAAACTTCACACTATCAGTCTCAGATCTTCACTATTGGTAGCCCCCAAAGGTTGGGAATATCTGATCTGCAGAATCCAAGTAGATGGGGACCATCCAGATAGAACACAATGTCTAGGAATCATAATCCAATCCATAGCCATCTTGGGTATTTCTTAGCTGATGAACTTATCTGAACCTTTACCAACTGCAGGTATATCTCCTGTCTTTGTTCTATATTAAGATCAAGTCATCACAGTATGTAAAGTAAATAAATGTATTTATGCACGATAATATATTATATATTATGTTATATTACTATAATATATAAATTTAACCTATACTGACTAAAGAAAACACACATGGTCTAGTAATTCTAAGCCATACTCTATTTAGAGCAACCTCTAAATAACAATTAGGCCAGCAACACACAGTAATCAAAGGGTTCAATAAGTCAACAATATTTGTGCACAATCAAGAAAATGTTTCTTCCTCAAAATATTCTTCTTTAGTGACATCTTAAAATTTAAATTCCTACAACTGAGCATTTTTCCTTTTTGTTAATATTGAAGTTGTTTTCTTTTTCTCTTTCACAAGCCTGCATTAAGTTGTAAATAACCATGGTAGGGTATTCAATGATGTCTTTAGCCAAAAAAATGAACAGAAAGTATAAGGAAAATCAAAAGGAAATTTGATCTACTTCATAATAGTGAAGGGTCACTTTGTATTCATTTGTTGAAAGAAATGTCACTTTAAAAAGCTTAGTTTTTTCTTTCGTTAATCCCAACAAAGGTAAAAGAACTTTTAATTGCCTCCATCATTGATAGCAGCTGTGTAAGACTGTAAATTATCAGGAAGTCAATTACTAACTCCTTGAAAAAACTGAATTTTCTGAATTCAACTGCAGTGACAAAATTTTATAATAAATCAGTAAGAGAAGTTTTTATTCCAGATTTTCTTTCCCAAATTGAGTAGTGCAGCATTTATTACCATTTTGCCAAAAACTTCCTGTATTTATCTGAGACATTTTTAGGATTTTTAAATTAAGTGAAAGATGAATGAAAATATAGATATAACCAATTATCTTTGGTTATATAATTAGAATTAGAGTTTCAATAATTGGCTAATAACTTACTAAAACATTTGACTGGGGAATACTGGAATTTGAGCATGATTTTGTAAGAGAATATTTTGTGTTAATATTTAATAGCTAAGTCATATTAGTATTGCTTAAAGGAGTTAATATAACAAAATAAACATTCAAGAACAGTTACACTAGATAAGTTTATTCTCTATAATAAAGAAGATAAAAGATAAATGCTATATCTCTAGCCTTTGTTACATTAACAATGTTCATATTTTTAAAGGTAAATGTTTATAGAGAAGGAAGTATTAGGTGATATTTCTGCTTTATTTGCTAGGGTATCTACTATTATAACCTTGACCTTACTTGAATGGATAATGTTGATTTTTTAGCATTAGTGAAGAGATTTAAGTGGTAAGCAGACTGATCATATTTGTTTGTTTAAGTTCATTTACTTGACCTCTCTTTTTTGAAAAAAATTTATTATGTTTCCATAGTTACTACTGAGTTGAGACACAAATATATTGAATAGATAATTTTGTGTTTGCATGCTATGCCAGGATCACCTTGTTACAGAATGTATAGAAAATGTATACACATATACATTGGGATATATATATATATATATATATATATATATATATATGCAAGCAGTATCATGCTCAGAGATTATAAAAACAATTGGGATTCAACAAATTTGAATGAAAATGTAAACAATAATTTTTAGAGTGAATCACGATACACATATCAAAAGAAATTGATTTTATAAACATATTGTTGAGTAAAAAGGGCAATTATAGATTTTTTTAAAATAGGGTCTTACTGTGCAGTTCAGGCTTGTCTTGAGCTCACTTTGTAGCTCGGTGTGCCTCAAACTCACAACAATCTTCCTGCCTCAGTCTCCCAAGTGCTGGGATTACAGGGGTACACCACCATGCCCACTAATCATAGAAAATTAAATGAAATGTGACAAGCAAACAAAACAATATATTGTTTAGTGAAATACACTACTGTGTTAAAGTCATAAATACAAGAATAGAAATCAACAAAGAATTATTCAGGAGACATGTTACATCTTAGAATAGGTAGAAGCAGCACAAAAAGTTGGGGCTGGTGGAACAACGAAAGTTTTGTAAAAGTTAATGATATGTACTTCTAAAGATTTATTCTCAGACTCCACAAATGACAGTGGAATGAGAAATCTATTTACTGAGCTGTGGGTTAGTATAATGGATGCTGTTTAAACTACAGAAGAAATTATATCTATTTATCTGGAAACCTATAACTTTAATCTAAGGGCCATTTGTTTTTCATCTGAATTTCTAAGGTTCT